GACAATAAGAAAATAAAAGGGATAGGCACTTGATTCCCAAAGGTTTGTCCAGTTTTTTTCCTGGACCTTTAAGTTCCTGCTTTAGCTCATAAATCCTCCTAGTTGCAATTAGATGAGCCCCAATTTGAATATTGCACTATTGCACACAGTTAACATAAATTTGGCAACTTCCTCCATGTGGCAGGCAGGTACTGTTGGAGCTATTCTTTGTTGACCCTGAACCTGTCTTTCTCTGGATTCTCTAGTGGCCAATGGCTTACAAACCAACCAAAAAACTCTTTTAAACTCTTCTGAATTGATTAACTCAACACACTTTTTTAAAAAACTTCATTTGGAAATAATTTGAGATTTACAAAAAAGTTTCAAAAATAGTACATAGAATTCCCACATCGTTTTTTTACATAGTTTTTTTTCTGTGTAGTACAATGATCAAAACTAAGAAATTATCATTGTTAGAATGTTACAGACTTTATCTAGATTTCACCAGTTTTTCCATTAATGTAACTTTTCTTTTTAAGATACAATCCAGGATCCCACTTTGTATTTAGTTTTCATGCCTCCTTAGTCTCCTCTAATCTGATCATTTCTCAATCTTTTCCCTGTCAAAATATCATTTTCCAAAATAACCTAAATGAGTTGTTTTCTTCCCCACTTCCGCTACTGTAGTCTTGTTACCCATTATATAATACAATTAGATTTATTTGTTACAGTTTGTATTCCATTTTAGTCCCCCTTCCTCATTCTTTGTTTGTAAATTTTATTATTTGAGGTATATAGTACTGTGGCTTTTGATAAACACAAAGTCATGTGTTCACCACCACAGTCCAGACACATAAAAATTCTGTATCTCTTCCAAATTTCTCTTTTGTTGCCCCTCTCTTCTCGCCTGGCATCCACAGAGATGTTTGCAATCCCTAAAGTTTAACTTTTCCAGAATGTCTTGTGAATGGAATAATATAGTATGTACCCATTTGGCCTGGCTTTCTTCTCTTGGCAAAATGACTTTATGTGCTATGCACATTGCTGCATAAATCAATAGTTTATTTTTTATTGCAGAATGGTATTACATTGCATGAATGTCCCACAGTTTGTTTATCCATTCACAGTTAAAGGAATTAGAATTGTTTCCAGATTTTGCAAATTATGAATAAAGCTGCTATATTACCTGTGCATATAGGTTTTTGTGTGTACATAAGTTTACATTTCTCCTGGATAAATAAATATGTAAGAGTGGAAACAAATGTATTTTGAGCTCCCACTAGCGACATAAAAGTAGGGGAGGGTATATGTGTGTGTGTGTGTGTGTGTGTGTGTGTGTGTGTGTTTTAATGTTAGTGGTTTTCACCTTCCAGAAATTCTTAGACCTATGGGGAATGAATATGGCATCAAAAACTCTGGTAACTATCAAACTGTGATAAGTACTGTGGTAGAAACAAAATAATGGGCTACGAAATTACGGTCGTGGCATTAAACCAGTTATTCACTTAGGAGCACTTGGATCCTCCAGAGTGAGAAGATCTGGAGGTTGTTAGGGCGTGTCTGAGGACAGAAACGGGGAAATCTGCTACTCAGAAGCTAACCAGAATGTATTTTTCCACATTCACAAGAAGGTTTTTAACCCCCACAGAACCTGTACAAGGAGGCCTGGGAAAAGGTGAAAGCCACCAGCTACATCCTGCCCTCCAGCACCATGTCCCTGACACACGCCAAGAGCCAGAAGGATCTGGCCAGCAATGTAAGTCCAGTGCAAATGTGACAGCCTTGCCACCCACTCCCTGCCCTCCCCGGCTCACCACTCCGAGGATCTTTTTGGCTGAAACACATGTTGCCCAGAAGTATTCCCAGCACTTCCATAGGGGTTTGCCACCAGCAAATAATTCCAGGGGCTCAGCCATCACAGACGCTGGGCACTTATTTCTTCTTCTCAAGGGCCCTGAAGTCTAGAGAGAATCACAAACACCTGTATTAAGGAACAGCTGTGGCCTTTTAGGCTGGTTGCCTGCAAATGACATGGCAGATATACTGTTTCAGCCAGAAGTGGGGATAGATAAGAAGACATAATATACCATACAGAATAGGCTTTTGTCCAATAGAACTATCTAGGTTGTAGTACAAAAATAAACCAGTTGCCGAAACTGGTTTGGCTCAGTGGATAGAGCGTTGGCCTGCGGACTGAAGGGTCCCGGGTTCGATTCCAGTCAGGGGCATGTACCTGGGTTGCGGGCACATCCCCAGTGGGAGATGTGCAGGAGGCAGCTGATCGATGTTTCTAGCTCTCTGTCTCTCTCCCTTCCTCTCTGTAAAAAATCAATAAAATATATTTTAAAAAAATAAAATAAACCAGTGAATGTTATAACTAACTAGTCATTACACCATCCTAGAATAAATGATTTAAAAAGTAAATAATTATCTTCATAACCATGAAATATAAAAAAAAAAAAGTTTAAAACTTTTGAAATTCTACTTTTTTAAAGCATAACTTTTCTTAGGTATAGACATGATTGTAAAAAAATTCTAAATCATGTGGGCTGTTTAAATATAGTCTTGTGACCTTTAACCCTTTATGCCTAAAATGTTCTTAAGTAAAACCGTTTATTATAAAATTTCCTGTAACCTCCATTGCAGTTCTAAAAAACCCAGTTCTCTTTCAGGAACTTTACCTCTTTAGAAACGTTTACCCCTTAATTGTGAACATTTTATGTAACATTTTAGACCAGTATTTCTCAAAACTTTTTTCAAGACCCATAGTAAGGAATTCATTTTATATTGCAAGTCAACACACATTCTCTCTCCCTTTCTCTCTCTCTCTCACACACACACACACATCTAAAGTTTATGTGAGTTCCTTCTGACATAAATGTTTACTGCTACACTAAAGACAATGCACTCTGATCATTTCAATTCTATTCTATTCATTTAAAATGCTAGTGACCTATTAAGTTGATTCACTACCCTCTAATGGACCTAGAGATGCATAATTTTTTTTAAAAAGCCTTTGTTATATAATAATGAAATTCATTTCATTCTTACCTAGAGAAAAACTAATACAAATGATTTTTCCAAGCCCCAGTTATTTGGAAGACTGCAAACAGACTAGCCCAAAGGAGCAAACTTTTCGTTTTGGAAGAGAAGTTTGTAGATAGTAGTTTAGAAAACTTAGCAGAAGCTTATTCATTCATTTATTCATTTTTGTCATGGAAAAAGTCACAGAGGCAGGAGTCTTGGCAACTTGTTCTTGGAATAAGGTGGGACACAGAGAAATTAACCTTTTTAAAGAAGGATTCCAACAGCAGTTTTTTTTTGGTTTTTTTTCTTAAAGGTGCCTTTGAATACTACCTTCTTTATAAATGAGGAATGGGTTAGATGTAAGGAACATGTGAACTAATGTTCTAAAAAATTCTGATGGGAATTTTGATTGGTTTCTAGTCAAGGAAGAGATTCGCAAGAATTCTAATACAAATACTCCTGTCTCCTATATTTGCACGAGATGTGGGGTTCTGAGCTGTGAGAGAATTGCTATTTTATCGTGTGCTAGGAGATTATATATCTTAATCTCTGTAGGGCCTTACCTCCTAGTTCAGGAAATCATGCAGCTTTAGTTAATAGGCAATACAAACAGACTAAAAGTTGGTTTTTCTGTAGGTGATTGCACTGTATCTTTGGAAACCCTTGTACAAAGTAAAACTCAAAGATTGTGTCTCTTAAGCATCAGGTTTGTCAGTTATTAAAAACAAAGAAATTCCTGAACACATCTTTCCTCTCACTTATGATTAAGAAAAACAAAGCCATTATTACAAAAGAGCTTATTTTATATGTTTTTATTGATTTAAGAAAGATGGAGGAAGGGAGAGAGAAAAACATCAATGAGAGAGAAGAAACATCCATCACCTGCCTCCTGCATGCCCCCTACTGGGGATTGAGCCCACAACCCAGGCATGTGCCCTGACTGGGAATCAAACTGGCGACCTTTTGGTGCATGGGATGATGCTCAACCAGCTGAGCCACACGGGCCAGGGCAAGAGATTATTTTAAAATCACATAATCTTTTACATAAAATTACAACTAACTTTTAAATAAGTTAGTTGTAGCAGCAGTACTAGCATTGGCATAGAAGTATTACAAACAGTAACTACAATTGTATAGCTCTCTACAGTTGAGAAGTACTTTCAGATATAGTCTGAATTAAGCCTCAGGAAACCTGGGCAGGTATGACCGTACACAGATGAGGAAAGGGATTCGCACAAGTGGTGACCCCATGTTGGCTGGATCTCAACGATGAGATCTTCCTATTCAGTCGCATGCTCTTATGACAAAGTGGATCCATTACTCTCCCAAACTGTTTCTTTCTCTGTGGTTTATCTCTATAGATCAAATACCGGGAAGAATATGAAAAGTTCAAAGCTCTTTATACTTTACCAAGAAGTGTTGACGACGACCCAAATACAGCGCGATGCCTCCGAGTTGGCAAATATAACATTGATGTAAGTAATGTTATACTTACTTCAAACTGAATCCAAGTAATAGAGTTGTCTATTGTAAATCAGAACCATTTCTATTAAACAGTGCTTATGGCTCTGACTGTGTATATATGAAGGAGGTAGGGGCTATTTCAACTGCATCTCCAGTCCACACAAATCTGTAGAAAGTGTCAGGAAATTCCAGTCCCTGCCCTTCCCCCAACTGACTGCTGTGAGCTGGTCACCGTGACTTCTCAGGTGTGTAAGAAGTGTATAAGAAGGCATATAAGAAGGTCACATATTGCCATGATTCTGTGCACCATTTTCTGTGTAAGTGGCATGTCAAGCAGAAGTGGCAAACACAGAGACTGGGCAGTGCCTGGCTTTTTCTCACTGGGAAAGAAAGTACTTAAGATTCTGTTCTTCACCTGAAACTAATATAAAATAATATTGAATGTGAACTGTAGTTGAAAAAAAAAAAGATTCTGCTCTTGTTTCCTAAGACCTCATGTGTTCAGGTAACTCCCTGGGGTGGAGTTGTGAGTGATCTAAGTCTATATGATGCTGTTGTTTTAAAGCTTCCAAAATTGCTTTTTGCATCCTTGTATCAAGAGCAAGTTTATGTGTGTTTTAACTTCACAGCGCCTGTACAAGTCCGTTTATGAAAAGAACAAGATGAAAATCAACATTGTGCCCGACATGGTAGAGATGGTTACTGCTAAGGATTCTCAGAAGAAAGTCAGTGAAATTGATTACCGCCTACACCTCCATGAATGGATTTGCCACCCCGACTTGCAAGTCAACAGTCATGTCAGGAAAGTCACAGATCAGATCAGCGACGTAAGCCCATTGCTCATGAAGGCCCCTCCTGGCCCCTCCTGCCCAACCTAAAGAGAAGCATACTCACCCACTTCTTTACCTCAGCCTCCTCCCAGTATTGCTTTTCTATATACCCAGCCTCTTCCTAATACTGCTTTCCTGTATACCCATGGGTCCCATTGGAACTCAAAGGTATCCCTGGAAGCAGGGCTCTGTGTGCCAATGTTTCCACGGCCCGCTTGGCCTCGCTGCATAATGCCTTTTGCTTCTCAGTCCACAAAATCAATCTCGTTCCAGAGGGTGCCCGTGTCTTTGGGGTTAAAATTATGATCAAATTTTATTTTGCCAATTCCCTTCATCTGTTTCAATTCTGTAGATTGTGTACAAGGATGACCTCAACTGGTTGAAAGGCATTGGTTGCTATGTCTGGGACACTCCTGAAATTCTCCATGCCAAGCATGCTTATGATCTGCGCAATGATGTGAGTTTGCCTTGATTTTGTTGTTGTTGTTTTTTTAAGTGTTTTCTTCTGTTCATAGTCTAGAGTCAAGGCGAGAGTATGTAAACTATGAACATTGTCACAGACCAGCTGTGTCTTAAGTGATGGTGAGGATGGCTGAGCTAGAGAAAGATGCTAAGCCATAGAAAGCAACCATTTCTCAGGTGTGCATATGGCATTCTTATTCAACAATGCAGTTGAGCTATCCCATTGTTCTCTGGAGGAGAAGGGGCATGTGGCTCTTCTCTCTACCTTTTGGGCTATTTTGAATATATTAATGAGCACATAATTGTCATTATAGGGAAATATAATTTGTTAGGAGTTTGTGATGCTATAGACGGATCTATTGGCAAAGAGAGGATTTCCTAGGAAAATCAATACTGTATTCAAGATGTTAGTAAGGAAACAAATATTCCTAGAAGAGCAATTGTCTGACCTCCTAGCATTGATTACACTGATTGTCATAAACTTCAAACACACCCTGGTCTATTGAATAAATGCTGGTGAATGTAAATGCCAGGAGTTAAAAAACAACCAAAACTGCTGTGAAAACCAGCAATCTCCAATATAATGAATGGTCTAACACAGGCTTATTTCCTTCCTCTCGGCAGATCAAGTACCAAGCTCATGTGAAGAAAACAAGGAATGACTACAATTTGGTCATGGATACTCCAGTCTACGTCCAGGCTGTCCAAAGCAGGAAACAAATAAGTGACGTAAGTGCCCATCGGGGATGTTACTGTGGCCAGTGATAAAGACAGGGGCCACCATTCAAGCAGAAGTGGCAAACACAAAGACTGGGTGGGCAGTGCCTGGCTTCTTCTCACTGGCAAAGAAAGTACTTAAGATTCTGCTCTTCCCCAGAAACTAGTATAAAATAATATTGAATGTGAACTGTAGTTGAAAAATAAAAAAAAGATTCTGCTCTTGTTTCCTAAGACCTCATGTGTTCAGGTAACTCCCTGGGAGTGGGGGAGTGGTAAGTGATCTAAGTCTATACGATGCTTGTTGTTTTAAAGCTTCCAAAATTGCTTTTTGTATCCTTGTATCAAGAGCAAGTTTATGTGTCATTGTGATCTTCTAATAAGTTAGAGCAGACTAATGAGAAGGAAGCAGGCTCTGAAATTAGAGGTGTGGAAGGAGTCCAGCCTCTACCAATCAATGAGGTTTAGGAAAAACACTCAGTCCTCCAAGTCTCAGCATCCTTACCCGTACAATGAGAAAATGAATGAAAAGCACCCACTACAGTGCCTGCTATAGACCAGGAAGGACAAGCACAATGCTGTTCTTTCTTTATTCACCCCACAGGTTAATAAATAAAACTATCCCACCAGTGACTTAGAACATTGAGACCTATTGTTTTTGAACTTGGAGTGCCAAAATGGCCACTCTTCCTCTTCTGATGCCTGAGCCAACTCTTCCACCTTTCTCAGTCTGGCCACACCCTGGCTCTGATCTTATTGGACGAGGCACAGTAACATATCAGACAGAATTCTTCAGGCAAGGGATGCAGGCTACCCTTCCTTTAGAGAGAGAGAGAGAGAGAGACAGACAGACAGACAGACAGACACTTGGGTTTCCTTTTACGTTGCTTCTTTCTAACAATGCGGCCAGAGTCTGAATCAGTGCACTCTGCTTCTCTCTGCACCAGGCTGTCTACCACCACGACTACGTGCACAGTGTCAGAGGCAAAGTGGCTCCAACTACAAAAACTGTGGACCTGGACCGGGCGCTTCACGCATACAAGCTCCAGAGTGAGGTGAGCTGTGAAAACGCTACAGAATGCCTGGCAGGTGTCCTGGATGCAGCTTACAAAGGCCGGGTCATTGGCCTCTGTCGAAGCACCTCAGCGTGGGCATCTTCTCAGCCTGACCTTGTACATTGTAAATGCTGTTCCATACTGTACGTGCTGTCCATTCACATGAGTTACGAAAAAACAAAAAACAGTGCATAGCCTGTCTTCCTTCTTGGCTGGCCAGATCTTTCTAAGCATGCAACGGGCATTTTTGGAGCCATGTTTACACGTTACAAAGAAGAGGGCCATTCTACTATTTCTGCTCTCAAAAAGCTTAAAACCAAGATGACAAAGACAAGGCATATGAAGGATTATTAACAATAAGAGATAAAGCTAGAAATTGCTGTTGTGAAACTCAGACAAGAAGGAATGTGGACTCCACTCCACGTGTAAGATCTCTATTCTGTGTTACCTGATGGTGCACCTTCGGCCTCAGCCTTCATTGCTACTCTCCTATGTTGACTGTTAGGAGTAAATTGGTTTTTAATATTTTAAATACTGTTCTTACTCCTATAGTTCCTCTGAGAGACAGACTTATTAAGGGCACAGAAACCCCTTCCACCTTCTGCCAGGAATATGAGCATCCTGCTCGCTTCATAGTCTGACATCAATGCTGTGTTTGGGGGCCGAGGGCGGGGGGGGGGGAGATAAGATTCCAAAGATGTGCTTTATAATTATGACTGTCTTCAAGATTTGTGACAACTTGAGTATTACCTGAAAGTGTGGTGAAGAACAGAGGTGGCACTTGGTAGACTGTTTTCTCTACTTAACCCAAATTCTTGCTAGTTACCATGCAGTCAACTGGGCATATGTTCAGAAGCATAGAAGAATTAATTTCTATAAGTCTCTGCATTCATTGCTCTCTTTTTAAAAAACAATAAGAGTAATTTGATTAATTGCCTCTTAGAGCTTATTCAATTTCTTTCTGAAAGTAATTCAATAAGTATGGTACTTTAAGTATCTAATTGAAAACCTACCATGAGCAGGATGTGACTTGTTTAACTTAGATCAGTTATTACATGTAGATGTCCTTTAACCCGTCCTTCTCATTCGGCAGAATCTGTACCGAGACGCGGGCAAGCGCTCCCTGCCTACTGGATACAGGCTTCCGGTCGACACTCCGCACTTCAAACACTCCAAGGACACCCAGTACATGAGCAGTTATGTGAGTGCTCGCCTCCTCATTGAGATGGGGTCTGAAGTGAGAGGGGGCACTAATATTCATTAATAGCCTGTTCTCATCCCCCCAGTCACACCCTGAAGGTTCAACATGATAGGATGAGAGGAGCAGAGCAGGGGAGACAGCACCTTTCCCCAGGGGTGCTGTGAACTGGCTGGCTCCTCTAGGTCAGCAGTGTTTGCACAGCCCAGTGCGTTAGCATAGGACTCCCGTGGGATTACATCTGCGTGATTCAGTTACCTTGGCTCGGGGCTCATGGCTGCCCGGATGCTTCTACTCCTGCTAGCCTTAGCACAGAGCATCCTGGACAATCCCAAGCCACGTACTGGAAATTTAAATCATACCTTCACTACTGATGTGTGGCAGTAGTATTGTCTTCTTCTGCAGTGTGTCATTGAAAAAGATGTAACAGCCTAGCCAGTTTGGCTCAGTAGATAGGGCGTCAGCCTGTGAACTGAAGGGTCCTGGGTTCAACTCCAGTCAAGGGCATATGCTCCAGTTGTGGGCTCAATCCCAAGTAGGGGGCGTGCAGGGTGCAGCCGATCAATAATTCTATCTCATCATTGATGTTTCTATCTCTTTCTCCCTCTCCCTTCCTCTCTGAAAACAATAAAAATATATTTAAGAAAAAAGAAAAAGATATAACATTCCTGTATATTTCTTTAAATAGAAAGAACTTTTTGCCGGGCTGCTGGCCCTGGTACTTGCCTCACTATTTACCCTCTGTGCCATTTCATAGACAGGTTAGAGGATAGCTTCTCACTCCCTGTAGCTTGCCCTGGAGTTAGCTCAGGCACCCACCTTCTCCACTTTTCAAAAGTACCTGGTTGGGACTTCATACCATTTACCCAAAGGACAAGGCCCAGGGAAGTTTAGTCTATCCCAGTGACTGTGGCTTCAAACCAGACCCATAAATAAGCCGTCAGCTGGAGAATAAACTCTCCCTTCCATGGCGCCCTTCAGAGTTCTGTGTATCAAATCTGCTGGCCTATGAGAGTCCAATATCAACCTGTAAAGCCATCCATCAGTCTTTAGTCTCTTATTTTTTCTTTGCATTTCCTAATTTGCCAGTCACATTGCAGCTAAAAACATAGGGGTTTTTTTCACTTTGCATAACTGTATACAAACAGATTTCATCTAGGCAGCCTTGAATTTTATTCCTTTCTGGATCTGGCTTTACTAGCCAACAAAATAATTTTCAAGACTCTAATTATTATTAAAATTTTGTCAATGACTTTTCCTTATACTTAATGCTTAGAGACTAATTTTCAAATGAAAGTGACAGCTCTTTTTGGTTTGAGAAATGTAACCCTGCTCTTTGTTTGCCCATCAGTAATCTCACTCTGACTTTGCTTTTGCAGTTCAAGTACAAGGAAGTTTATGAACACCTCAAGGCAAACGGGTATACACTTGGCCCCAATGATGTTCCGTTTGTCAATGTCCGGAGGATCAACAACGTTACCAGTGAGGTACTGTGAATGCGAATTCTGTGGAGAAAATATTGATATTTGCTTATTGATCAGTCAGTATCCCACATTGACCACCTGAAATGGTGTTTCTTCCAATGTAGAGGCTGTATCGGCAACTGTACCACAAACTCAAAGACAAGATCCACACAACCCCTGACACACCTGAATTCCGCCAAGTCAAGAAGACACAAGAAGCTGTCAGTGAGGTGGGTATTATTTTAGGAGAGAAGACAGGCCAGGGAACCCAGGGGTGACTTTCAGCCATTCAGTCACTAACATGTGTTTTTCTGGACACTTTCTCCTTTAGCTGATCTACAAATCAGACTTCTTCAAGATGCAGGGTCACATGATCTCGCTGCCATACACACCCCAAGTGCTCCATTGCCGTTATGTGGGAGACATCACCAGTGACGTAAGCATCTCTTAGGGTCTTTCTGGAAGACTGTTAGGAAGAGGATGGCTTCTTTCAGCATTTAAGCCGATCAGTGGTCTTTTCCACTAAGTACCTCTAAACTGAATGTACAGCTTGGAGTGAAATAGTGTGGATACAGGACCCCACATTTTACCAGCTTTGGGAACAGTAGTAAGGGGACCACTTGGGAAATGCAAGAATCGCTGGCCGCCATTCTTCATGCAACCCTGAATTATTACCAACTCTTCACTCTCTAGGTGGCCTCTGTTTCAGCTCATGTTTAGTATCTTTCTCCTGCTCATCTCTGCTCCCACCCCCTTAAGCAACTTCCTCCTGCGATTTGTTTCTTTTTCTTCCCTGGACGTTTCCTTCTCCTAAAAGACCACTTTATTCCATCGAAGCCCTTCTCCCGTCAAATGCAGTCATAAAACAATAGCTGTGTCCTCTCCTCAGATCAGGGCTAGAGATTTAAATTTCAAAATCTGTGATTTACTTGCGTGCAAACAAAGAGTACAAGGTGGATGTGTTGAATCAAAATGAAAGATATATCAGTAAAAAAAGCTTCACTACTCTGTCTTATTTATTCTTGATTTATATTTGCTCCTATCCAGCTGTATTTCTATTTTTGCCACACAGATTAAATACAAAGAGGACTTGCAGATCCTGAAGGGAATAGGCTGCTTCCTGATGGACACTCCCGACATGGTCCGTTCCCGGCACCTGCGGAAGCTCTGGGTGAGTGCCCGCCCATCGTCACAACATGTGGCTGCCCCTACACAGCTTCACGGAGCTGGGCAGAACATCTGCCTACAGCCACTTTTAAGGGGAAATTTGACATTAGCCCACTGGAGCAAGTCATGACCATGACTCCTCACAAAGCTAATGAGCTTAGGTAGATGACAATTGTTTTGTCCCTGCCTGCGAAGGCCTCCAGGGCACAGGGAGGCTCAGCTTGACTTGCACATACCAGCCATTTGAAAGACAATGTGTGACCATGACATGCAGTTCCTTGAATGATGACTCAACTTTTATTTTCCTTCTGTTTTTGGTTTTCAGTCTAATTACCTGTACACTGATAATGCAAGGAAGATGCGAGACAAGTACAAAGTGGTGCTTGACACTCCGGAGTACAGAACAGTGCAAGAACTGAAGACACACCTGAGTGAGGTAAGGATGTCACCACCAGGGATGTGTGCCTCTAGTGATCATTTGTCAGGCAACTACACGAGGCAAAGGTCTCCCTTCTGCCTTAATTACAGAGTCGCCACCACGTCTAAGCAAGTCAATTGATCTCACTTTGCCTCAGTTTACTTTTGTTCCCTTTTAATAAGATGAGGATATTGATATTTGCTCTACGTAGGACCAGGACTGCTGAGAGTTTTCATGATTTTATAGATTGGAAAGTCCCTCTGTCTTACACTATTGCTGTAGTTTCCAAATGAATTTATTTCAAACGTCTCTCTTTAATTCCTGCTACCAGGACCCCTAATTGTGGTAGTGTCGTTGGAAGTCTTCACTGGCGCCCTGCTCTATTCCCGCTCAGTAAATTCCAAGCTACTTCAGTGTATTTGAGTGCCCCTCATTTTCATCTGTCCTCCCCTCAGAGGGTCAACCCTTGACTTCAGCGAATAGCAGCCTGGGGGAGGGCAGAACCACAGAAGGAAGCGGCTCCCAGAGCGGGAATGGTGGAATGGAAGGCAGAGGAGAGTGCTCGGGAATGAAACTGCTCAGGGTTTCAGTTGCTACAGAGAAGCATTCTGGGATTTGGCCATTGTAAAGTTTTTTATCATCTTATTGAGAATGACTTCATTGGAGTGATTGGAGGGAAGCCGAACTGTCGCCTTGAGAAATTACTCAAAAGAAAGAAAAAGAACATTGTACTATGTAGAAAATTATGGACTTAACTTTAATGGGTTTTTTAAAAACAGGCAGGAAGAGCCCTTGTCGCTTTTCTGACCTGATCACAGAATTTGGGTAGTGGATTCAAAAAGAAAAAAAATGTTACAAGTTTGGAGCAAGGGAGCATGCGTTTAAAAGGAATCTCTCTTTTTTGTGTGTTTTTCCTTTTGTCCCAATGGGGAACCTAAATCCGTTTTAATTGCACAGACACACGGACAAAAAGTCATTTTGTATCTGCCAAGTGTGGTACCTTCCTTTGTTTATTTGCTATTAACTGTTTGAGAAGTGGGGGGAAATGCATAGTCTGCCTGGCTGTAAAAAAGAGGAACAAGGGCAGTGGTAGAGGCTGGAAAATGAAGGGAGGGACTTGAGTCTGTTTGCAGATGAAGGGAGAGGGCTGGGAAAACTGGAGGGTTGAAGGTCATGGACAGGAAGGGATAATGTTGGAACTGGGTCCTAGAAGGGACAAGTAAGAAGAAACCAGGATCACAGCAGGAGGCGTGAATCTTGGACAAGCTACAGAGTGTATTTTGATAAAAGAGAGAAAAAGTAAAGGAAGCCCAGGGAGGTAAATAAAATATTGGTTTATCGGGAAGAAACTGAGCTTGTTGCAGTGGGACGGCCCCTGCTTCTTCCATGAAGTAAGTAATAAAGGCGTCTGCAGAGAACATGTCCATGGAGCAGAAATGATGCTGATGACTGTTTTGTGCCCAGCTGGTGTACAGAGCTAAAGGCAAGAAGCAGAAGTCCATCTTCACTTCAATTCCTGATACACCTGATCTTCTAAGAGCCAAGCAAGGGCAGAAGCTTCAGAGTCAGGTAAAGTTAGTAAAGGAAGATTCATAACCCCGCCACGCTGGCATCACGGGGGGCGGTTGTGGGTGTCTGACCACTCCTGTCAGCAGCAGCCTCTCACACTTGGTTGTCCTTGATGCAATTGCATGCCTATTAATTTCAAGAGGCAGTCCTTGCCTGGGCCATCCTAACCATGGTTTTTTTTACATGAGCAGGTAAATGCCATGTCTCCTTTTCCAAGTTCTATTCAACTTTTGTTATTGGATGAGGAGTCTGTGGACTCCAGGGAGTGAAAATAAATTGCTTGACTTATTCTATAGAACCTATTTATTTTCCACAGACAAATGAAATTACAATTTATGCATTCAGGCAAAAATGGATAAAAAATATGTTGAAGGCCCTAGCTGGTTTGGCTCAGTGGATAGAGCGTTGGCCTTTGGTCTGAAGGGTCTCGGGCTTGATTCCTGCCAAGGGCACATGCCTGGGTTGCAGGCTCAGTCCCCAGTAGGGGGCTTTGCGGGCAGCAGCCAATCAATGATTCTCTCTCATCATTGATGTTCCTCTCTGAAATCAATAAAAATATATTTTAAAAAAATATGTTGAAGGCTCTGTCAGAATCCTCTTATTCTTTCTTCTATCTGCCTTCTGTATTATATGGATTTATTTTTTTTTTCATTTTTTTTTTACATA